GATTCTCGCCAGTGGCGTCGTACTTGTCGTGCACCCACTCCGGCGGCGGCGGGTAGAAGTTGGCCTGAGAGGCTGCCAGCCCCAGCGGATCATTGCTGGCCCAGACCGTCAGGCTGATGTAGAAGGTGTCAGGTGGCACCAACCCATCCGCGTCCACCAGGCGCCGTGTTGTCAGCTGCGGGCACCAGCCCCGTCACCATCCATCCCTGGCCCCGCCCTCAGCCCCGCCCCTATGGCTTTGCCCAAGCCCCACCCCTACGGCTCTGCCCTCAGCCCCACCTGGTCGTAGTCGAGGGGTTGCTGCGGGTTGCCCGTCTGGATGAGCAGCTTATACGCCAGCGCACCATCCTCTGAGCCGTTGCGGTAGCTGTCGCGGGTGATGCGCCCAGACGCCCACTCCCGGTCGAAGGCAACCTGGAGCCCTAGGGAAGGGGATATAATGGGGCACAGACCCAGGTGACTGCGGCCCCCCTGCCATGCACCACCCCTGTGGCCCCGCTCACCCCGCAGCCAGTCCTGGAAGTAGTGCAGCCACATGCGCGGTAGCTGGCGGTCGGGCCCTCGCACCACGTGGCGCAGGGTGCCCAGGGCATGGTGCAGGCCCAGCAGCGCGGCCTGGGAGCCGGGGTAGTGGAAGCCGCCGGTGGTGACCACGAAGGCATGGTAGGAGGAGAAGTAGCGGGCTTGTGCTGCCAGGAAGGCATGGGCAGCCGTGCCTCGCGGCACCACGTCTGTCAGCGCCAGCCCGTCCCGCACCTGCGTCGCGCCGTACAGGCTCAGCCCCAGCAGCCCCACGAACAGCAGTGCCACCACGCCCTACAAGGGGTGTTGTCAGGCCATGGACATCCCCAGACCCAGGAGTCTTGCAACCGGGGCACTGGGGGCCCCCTGCCCGTACCTTGCTGTGCGCCCGCAGCAGCAGTGGCGCATACTTGCGGCGGGCGAAGTGGGCCAGGTCCCAGTGGCAGGCTGGCAGAGGCAGGCAGGCGGGCGCCCCCGAGGCCTCATCCAGCTGGGCCAGCAGGTTGCGGGTGGAGCTGGCGGGCGTGGGTGGCAGGACTGTGACCACGTGCTGCCCTGCGGTGTCGCACCGGGCCAGGGCTTGCACCGGGCCCCCCGTGGCTGGCGCCCCCCCTGGCTCCTGTGGCGGCAGCTGGAGGACGCGCGAGGTGCAGGGGCTGCGGGAGGGAGGCCAGGGTGAGCGCGGCCCCTGGGTGCCCCGGCCCCCGCCTCGTCCCAGCCGGGCCCCCACCCGTGGGCACCTGGCGAAGCAGCAGAGCACGTCGAGCCGGCGGCGCCGTCGTCGGTGCAGGTCGAGGCTGAGCACGGCCGGGAAGACGAGCAGCACCATGGCGAAGTTGGACGCCACGACCACGGCTGCCTGCGGGGGGGTGCGCGTGAGGCCGATGGTACCAAGGGGCGGGTGCCCCCAGCTCAGTGAGGAAGGCAATGCGCACCCCCCACCGGCCCCCAGCCCCCACGGCAACCCTAGGGGCACAGGGAAGGAGAGGGGATGCAGGGAGAGGGGTGTGGGGGCCTGACCTTACTGGGAGAAAGCATGGGCTCAGCGGTCAGGGAGAAGGCACAGGGCAGGACTGGGGTTGGGGGTCAGAGGTCAGGGATGGTGCTTGGAGGGAGAAGGTGTGCAGGGGAGGGTGGGGATGGGGTCAGGAGTCAGGTATTGCATTTGCAGGGAGAAGGCTTACAGGGCAGGGGGCAGGGGTCATACCGGCAGGGAGACGGTGCACAGGTTAGGAATGGGGTCGCGGTTGGGGGTCGTACCAGCAGGGAGAAGACGCTCAGGGTAAGGATGGAGCCCAGGGGTGGGGGGCAGGGGTCGTACCTGCAGGGAGAAGGCGCGCAGGGCGGGGATGGGCACCAGGGCGGCCATGAGGAAGGCGATCATGTTGCTGAGGGACGTCAGGGCCACGCTGGTGCCCGTGCGCCGCAGGCATTCGCCTGTCCGCTCCTGGGGC